GGTTATGTAAAATTTTAGTTAAATTGGATGTTCCACTTTATCTGAAATTGCAAATACTGACCAGATAATTTATTTTTCGTTTGAAGATACAACATATAATACAGACTATTTATGACGCAATCAAGAATTTTTATTATACCAGAATTATTAGAACAGTTTTTACATTTTTTAGCGATAGATAAATCTCTCTATCCTGCTCTATTCGTTTGCTGATTTTGGTACAGATGTAGTGTCCCTATTCTATGGAAATGCATTGAGCTAAATGGTGTGGATGATCAAACTCAATTAAATAAATTTTTAAAAATAGTATATGGGAGAGGGCGTAAACCAATTTATAGCTCAAAATTAACTCATATTAAAATATCAGACTACTGGCTTTCAAATAGAAAAATCAAAAGCATTGTACGCAGGTTCCAAAATATAATTCATTTAGATTTTGAAAGAAGTATGGAATCTGAGTCTGTTGGGAAAGTTCTAAAGCTAATAGTAGAATCATACCCAAATTTGGAGTATCTTAATATATCTGTTTTAGATAATTTATTTTAATGAAAAATTGATAAAGGTCTAACTGCAATCGCAGATTCATGTCATAAATTAGAATGTTTAAATATTTCTAATTGCACAGAGTTTTCTGAAATATCAATTTGTAATATTATTCGTTCTTGTCTAAGACTCCAGCAATTTGACATTTTCTTTTGTGAAATTACTGATATAATAATCAAAGAAATTGCTAGATCATATCTTAATTTAAAATATCTTAATCTGGAAGGATATGATAATATTAGTAAAGAAGCCATAGATCAGTTAAATCCAAATATCCATGTCAATAATTACTGGGATTCAAATGATATTCAAGCTGAGATAGAGCGAGTAGTAGAGATATTATCAATACAGCCTTCAGTTATTAGAACTCAGTTTCACCAGGTATTCTGACAACCTAATTCCAATATATCTATGACAGTTAACTCTGGTACCGATCACTTCATTATAGCAATAAACAGACAAACACCGAGAAATTATTTTGATAGAATACTAGCCAATTTACTGATTTAGCTAATCTGGAGTAGTGATTACATAATTTTTTTGAAGGTGCTTTGCTATTTTTTCGATTAAAGATAAAGCATATACTATTTATGGCGCATTCAAGCAGTCGTGAATCAGTTGCAATATTACATCAACTGATAATTACAGAAATAGTGATAGATTTGCTTAATGATGCTGAAAATAAAGGTTCTGAAATGTATAGACAAGTAATCATTTTCTAAAAGATATTCTCCTAAAGTCACGTAAAATTTTCTTGGCAAAAACTGTTTTCTCAGGAAACGATCAGCTGAAGTAACCTATATATTTTACTTGACTGTTTCTATATATACTAACAAACTTTTGAATATTTACATTCTTATATAAAATTTATCGATGTCAAACACTCAATCCAACGATTCATTAAAGGAATTA